AGGAATCAAGCTGTAGATGGCACCAGTATAGAGAAAAGGGTTAATAATTCCTCAGATTATATTAAATTGCTGAATACTATTTTGTTTATATGTTTATTGGAAGATTATGTTCAAAACACACATGATTTGTAACAGACATACAGAATGGGCTATTGTAAGGGGTGATAAAATGTGTAATATTTAGTGAACAGAATATTTGTGCACTTTTATTGTCTATATATGTTGATTATCATTCACTAAAGGTACATGGGTTAGATTTAACTATTGTAAGTGAGGCGGTGTATGTGAATTATATTGTTTATGAACACAAACTTCTTGGTTTGTAGCTGTTCATGAATCATATAATCTTGCCATCTCAGAATAAACATATTAATGTTAAGGTATAATTTAAAGTGATGTATAGTCTGGGTCGGAACAGTTGCTGATTTGAATTTTTAATTCATAAATGCTGATCTATCTTTAAGCCTTGGCATATGTTAGTACTGATATTATATATTTATTTCTCAGTTTTCATTGTTTGTTCAAGGCAATTTTTTGGCCCAGGCTTAAAGACTGATTTTGTAAACCATTATACACCATTTTTTTGTGAATAAAATGTATTAATTCAAACACTGAATTATTTTATGCATTTGTTCAAAAGAAGCTTTACTCTTCTGGTCCAGACTATCTGAACCTTATTTGGTTATGATTGAAATACAGAAGCCTGCCTGAGGGTCACTGGAAATGTGCCTGTAGCCTGTCCTGTGCATGAGTTGAATAATGAAATCATATGATGAATGTGTTTGGAAGTGTCAGGATATTTCAGGATTTGAGGTACTCACAGCGGTGGTTATGAAGAGTTCTGTCTTCTGGGATATAATGCCATGTAGGCCACTAAGAGTCAGTCAGTGTTTGGAAGAACATGTCCAGCTCCTTGTGAAATGTTGATTGACTTTCAGTGGACTGCACAGTGCTGTATCGCAGAAGAGAGCACTCTTGTTAGGACTGCATTTGTGTTTACAGATTTTTCTCCCTACAGTTTTCATATCTTCAGATCTTGAGGGGGTCCATGAGTTAAAGTTGGGCAGTGAGGTGTGGCAGGCTCTGTTTTATAGGTTTTAATTGCATACTGCATAATTTTACAAGAGAGCCATCAGCATTTGGTGACTTAGTGAATGCATGTGGTAACTGTGTAGCTTGGTGAAATAACTCCTCTGCTAGTTTCACTTAAACTTCCTCAGTGATTTTTATTGTTAAGTCTACATATATGTAGTATTTAAGAATTCTTTGCATGTTAGTGATTTAGCTTATTGGTTGCTGTGAAGTTAGATGATTGATTAATTCATTGATTAAGGGCTGGGTTATACCAGCCCTAACACAGCTGTTGTTTTTGATATTTTATGCATCCCTCTTCTTGGTTATTGCTGTGATACTCGTACACTTTGGATGAGGATGAAATTAGGTAGTACCCTGAGTAGCTTTTGCAGGCATATCTATAGCCTGCTTGTTTTTAAGAATAGACTATCACTCTTGTGGCAGCCATCTTACAGTATGTAGGAGGATAATGCAGGTTGCCCATGTACATTGCAGACCAACAGTTCATAGCCATTGTGTAACCACATTTCAATTCAAGACTCAACTTAAGAACCTGAGGTTGTACATTTGATCATGCAGGAAGAAATGGAGGTGCTTATACAGTTTAATAGACATAGTCTGTTCCATACAAACTGAACCTCTCAGAGTGTCTGTGACAGCAGTTTCACTCCAGTCTCATGGAAAAAACATATTGATAAAAATATGTTTAATTTTTCTCTGTAACTTTTGTTCGAAAAATTGTTTACTCCAGTAAATATTCAGTGAGTTATGTTCTAGGTGCATCAGAAACTCATGTAGGTCTATACTTCAAGTATCTGTTACTGATGTCCAGTTGTAACCAAAATTTAAATGTCTTGACAAATTTTACAAAACTCTGGTAAAAATATTCTCTTCAGCAGTTCTTGGGCTGGTTATGTGGGTAGTCAGGCGGGCATGATGGTGCTAAAAGGCATATTTTTGCAACAGTTGTTTCTGAATATGTTCAAAAGAAATGCAGTATTATTAAAGTAAGTAGTGTGCAAATTAATTGGGACAAAATAAAAAAAACTGAAACTTTTGATATTTGTTTTTTCTGACCCTTCAAATACAATTCTGTCACTTGATTTTAGTAATAAATTTGTCCCCCCTTTGCTAAAATCACTTCCTGTACACATTTTGGCTTTGACTTAACCAGTTTAGAGCAGATGTTTTTCAGTCCACTGTCGTGGAACCAATATTTATTGCATTTGTTACTATGTGTTCTTCAGATGAACAATCCATTTTACCCAGATGTTTCTTCTATATGCTCCACAAATTCTTGATTGGGTTCATGTCTGGAGAATTACGAGGTCAATTGAGCATGCTGATTTTTTTTCTTGAATGAACTTCTTGACTGCTTTTGTGTTATGGCATGTTGAAAGATTGTGTTGAAATGTCCCTTTACCATCTACAAAGGTATGCAGGAATGGTAAAACTCTCCTTTTAAGGATTTCGATGTACTTTGCTGAATTCATCATGCCATCAACTGGAACTAGACTCCCAGGACATTTTTTTGGAAGGTATTTCACAGTCTGCTGAAGATGCTCTGCTCTCACAGGTTCAGTACTGCTTCATCTGACAACACTTGGTTTATAACCTTGAATAAAAAAATGTAATTCATCACTGAAAGCCATCTTCTTCAAGTCATCAGTTGTCCACAATCTATATTCATCTGCTCACGCCAACCGTTTCTGCTTTATACCAAGTGTCAACAGTTGCTTTTTGATTGGTTTTCTTGCCTTCCACTGAACTTCAAGAAGCCTACACCATACAGTTGAAGCATCAACGTCAATCCCCAAAGTCCATAAATCTCTTTGAAGGTCCTTACTTGTCATTGTTGGATATAACCTACTGTTTCTCAATAGAAGCTGATTACTACGAGGATGCTTTTTCATTTTCTTCCACATTTTCCTTTTCTTTTTGGAGAAAGTGATCTGGAGTCCTTGTATGCACAAAGAATTCTTGACACACTCGATTTTCCCACACCAACAACAGAGACAGTGTGTCTCATAGTCATTGATGTGTGTTCCTTAAGAGCAACAGTTTTTGCCCATTTCTTCAGAATGATGTCCATTTTCACAGTCACAAAAACAGAAGTTATCCAAGGCTTCAAACTCAACACGCGCTTGCGAAAGACACAAGCTGTCAACTGATGAAGCGGCAACCTTTCCTGTCAGAACCAGTCAACAACCCAGTTTTGACTATCTGCAACCAACAGAACTTGATTTTTACTGAAATAAGTGTTTGTCCCAATTAGTGGCACATTACTGTAGATATACAATTTTTGTCTGCATGATTAAAATATAATTTGTTTCCGCTGCTATTGTAGAGAAAATTGTGACTACATTACAGCCAGAGGAGAGAACATAAATGGAATATTTGGCAATACACAAGTGTCACTCTCTTAATGCTGGATGCATTGTAGATTTGAATATTGATCTGCAGGAAGAGACCCAGGTCTCTGTGTGGATTGCAGCAGAATTAAATTTATTCTCTGTGGCTTCAGATTACCATTTTATGTAAATTATTTAAAAATTTGTGGTAGCTCGATCATTAAAATAAGAATTACAGTTTGAAGGAACAGGATGTTATTTCCAAATGATGGGGGTGTTGAGGTTGTTTCTCACAGTGACATCCAGAATGCCGTTATAATTCACTGCACCTGAATCTAATTGGTACTAGGGACTTAGGTGAGGAGTGAAGATTAATGGTCCTGTAACTGACTGCTCCATCTGTTACCAAGGCTACAGATGCAGACAAGTTTACTGTGCTTCCTCAGCGAGGCATAGAATAATGTTTGTGCATTTTTGGTACTCATTTCAAAAGTGAATACACAATGGAGGAGATCAAGTATGTCTGTCTGTCTACATATTTCCCAAACCACTTGCCAGGTTTTATTGAAATTTGGTTTGGAATATTTGTACTAATGTTTGTAACACACGTTACATGTTGGTTATTGCACATGAAACTGAATTCTGACTATATCAAATTCCTCAAAATCAAGTCATAAAATTGGATTTTACACATAAAATATTGTTATGCTTAAAATTAAAGTTGTAATTTTTAAACATTTTTTCATGTAGTATCTTATATTAAGAATAAATTATTTATGATTCTGTACCAGTGAGTAGGTTTGAATTTTAAATTCAGCAAAATATGTCCATTCCCCTGTCTGTGACGCATCTAAATACTAAAAACCTTATACTCTTGAAAGAAGCAGTGAACACTTGAATTTTCAAGCTTGTTCTAGCATTAACAGTACTGTTACATTTCATGATATGCCTGTGTTCTGTCTGTGATGTTTCATTATTATGAAGTCTTATATTGAGAAAAGCACATATATGAGACTGTAGTAGCAAGGTGTAAAGTCAGTAAAGTATAGCTATCCCTGTAACAGGCCTTGGAGGCCCATAGGGTTGTGAGATGTTGAGGTTCCTACATTTTCTAGGCAGTCGGCTCATAGATGGCGGTAAGTTTGTCAGCCCTACGTGCTGGCTACCCTTTACCCCCAAGAATATTTCGAGAATATTCCTGGTACTCATTTCTGTTAGAGGCTGAGTTGACTCCAGGGCCATTGTGCGGCTGGAAGGATTAGGCAAATTGAAAACATTTAGTGACCTCATCAGGATTCAATCCCACGACCTTCTGGCTTGTAGCATAGTGCCTCAACCAACTATGCTAGCATGTTCCCCCAGCAGAAAGGGGTAGTGTTGTTCAATTTTTGAATGAGTTTTATATAGAGTGATTATTCAGAAATCAGTCCCTTTGCAGGTTGCTAAAATTTTCATACATGTGGTATCCAGTCAGCAGGCCATTGTTTTCTCCTCAGTACTAACCTATTTTGATTTCATGTGGAATATGATTTTAAGGCTTATTTGAATTAATGAATTTACTATGCACATTTCTAGCTTATGGGTCTACAGCAGCAGCTGGCTGTAAAAGCGAAAGAGCTAGAGGCACTTCTGAACTCTGAACTTCACAGTCAGCTTGGCATCAGTCAGAATCTAGTCACAAGACTGAAGGCAGAAGAAATGGCTGCACTCAAGGTGAGGTTATGGTTTGGGAAAAGTTTCCCCTGTGCTTAATTCATTAAGCTGTATGCAATGAAGATATATGGGGGAGTGGAGGTATAGCTCCATATTTCTTGACCTTTGCACTAGATGGAGGTGAGTGGTCAGCTTCATGCCTCTGCTGCTCTCCCCCCCAAGACAGTGCCCCCAATACCCATTGGATAGGAGTCTGGGTGGATCGTAGTGTTTGTCTAAACGCTATGGAGAAGAGAGAAATCTTGCACTGAGGGACTCAAACCCAGGCCGTCCAGCCAGTAGCACATTGCTATACAGACTGAGCTGTCTAAGCGCCTGAGGTTATGTTTTGCATTACAGAAATGCACCGACACTGAACTATGATGTGCACCCTTTAGCAGACCTCTCAAATATGCAACCATTTTAAATATCAGAAAACTTTTGTGTGACACAGTGAGAGATGAGAGTTTTGAACAGGCATGTACAAAATCACAATTTATTTTTATTAAAGTGAAGGAGAATATTCAGTTTAAGAGACTGGTATTGCATTTATCAGAATGCATACAAAATGTTGGCCAGAAAGCCAAATTTCCAATTTGCCATTCATCAGTGTGCAGCAGTTTGTTGCTATATAACCTAGCTGCTGACTGCACTGCAAAATATCCGATGAAGAGTTTTGAGTGGTTTGGAATGAACCCTGTTGCTGCGTTCTTTTAGTACCAGGGTTTTGAGCATACCTCTCCCTCCACAATTTCTTACTTGATAATTCTGTATTTCAGCATCGTGTTGCAATTGTTTAACTTAATGTCCGTGTACTTATCGTCCGTCAATATTGCAACACTTGTTTATTCACTACTTAATTTTAATTTTAGTTTAACATTATACACTTTGACACTACATGTTTCGGCCCCAAACAGCCATCTTCAGGTGTCTTGATACGTTACAAATATTTTATTAAGGTATGTTAAAACTGCTACAATATCTTAGTCCATGTTAAAATCACACGCTGAAGTTTTCTTTTCATGGTAAAACCAGATAGGGTCATAGGAGTGTTTCAGTGGTTCTGTTACACAGGCATGCATGTTCAGCACACATACACGTACTAGAACATTTGAATTTACTGCAGATATTCAAAATAGTAAATAAAATAATGTGGCACAGAAGTGCTGCATCTAGAAAGGAAGGGAGGCATACAAGCATGTTACTTCAGTGTGTGTGATCCATTATGATAAAGACTGAGCTTGTGAACTGTGGAATGATGTATGTGCCACTTGAGAGACATCTGTTTTCCGACTTGTTGGTACACTACACCTCTTGCAATTGCTAAGTTTGGAGCTACAAGAAACACCACTATCTTATGGTACAGAATCATATAATTTCATATGTGCAGGTTCTGATTTAGTTAAATTTTGTTGAAAATGCCAAAACAGTAATAAGAATTGCAGCTCTGCATTTTGATTTGGTGATGGTTGGTGAGCTGTTGTAATACAAGTGAAGGAAGTATCATGTGATGAGGAGGAGACAATTGCGTCTGTAAATCTCCATGTGACATTTCTTTTATTGAAAAATGTGTTAGTATATGAAAGTGTGCAAAATTGTGATTTTGTGTATTCTGTGTAAATGTGGAACTTGATCTCTCACATTAAAGGAAGCAAAGAGAGACTAGGGGTGCTCTAGGACAAGGTGGGCAGAATATTTGGACCTAAGAGGGAGGAAGTGACAGAAATTGTTTAATCATTTATAATTTCTGCTCTGTGGCAGTTATTTTTAGGATGATCAGATTGAGAAGAATGAGATGGGAGAGACATGTATTATGTATAGAAGAGAAGCGAAATGCAAATAAGGTTTTGGTAAGAAAAGCTGAAGGGAAGAGTCTTCTTGAAAGATGTAGATGTAAATGGAATGATAATATTCAAATTGATCTTAAAGGATGTGCGACGGGAGTCATGTGACTCAGGATGGCGACTAGTGACTGGCTCTTATGAACACTTTAATGAACCTTCAGGTTTGAAGAAGTGTTTGTAGTATCTTGACTGGTTCAACAGCTGTCATCTATGGAGGCTGGACTCTGCAACACGGAGTTAGTATGTCACTGTGGCAGTTGTATAAGACTTCAACGTTGAGTTTTCAGTTGATCTAGTAGCAACATTATGAACCAAGTTAAACAAAAATCTAGCCAACTCATTATATTTAAAAAGAAATATTTTAAGGAAAGTAGTCTTCTTCTTGCAGTGGCTGTTGGGATGACACAGTGATTTTGTGGCTGAACTGCCTTTAGAAGGTTCTGAGTTTGAATGCCAGATGCAGACCAATATTCTGACAGATGTTTTTGTGACTTTCTGTATCTACAGGCTTCTGTGGCTGTACCTTAAATTAGGCCATGACGGTCTCAACATCATTCCCTAGTCATCCTTTCTAATCTTCCTCCTATATCTCATTTAAGAGTACATAATTTAGCAGCTGGTGTGCATCTTCAAATAGTCAGCCATTATTACATTCTTCAACTTCACTTTTTCATTAGCAAGTGCATCATATTGTGATAGGGGACCATTTTTGAGGCTTGTTTGGCATAAGTTTTAATGGAGCATGCCATTATGTTCTGAACTGTATACATTAAGAAATACTATAAACGACATACTTTCATATTTAATGCTGTTAGTGTGCTTTAGTAGCTTTCATTTTCTGTTTGAGATTTGAGATTTTTGCTGCAGTAACTATGATAATTGGTCTTCTGGATTCATTTCTTTATGCTGTTCTGTCATGAAGATGGAGGCAATAGATTTCACAGAAAAGTTTGTAAATGTCTACCAGACTGCATCGCACCACATCACAGAAGACGGTAATCTTCATGTTTGTTAATTTATATATGCTACTCACCTGACTAGCAGTGGAGTGTATAGACTTTTCGTATTGAGTTGTACAAAATGATGAATGTTGTGTTGTTTTTTGTTGTGTTGACAGCATTCATTAATTTGCATTCTCTGACATGAATTCTGGTTATTGCAATTGTAATCTGGTTGTGTCCAAAGCGTGGTAAGAATACCACTGATTATATTATTAACAGGAAAGGCAAAGGAGTGAATTAGAAGAATTGAAGAACAAGTTGGATGTGCAACAGATGGGAATGTACAGTGTGCTGAAACAGAAATTTGAGGAGTATGCTGAGCAGAAGATTGCAATAGCCTTAAAAATAGTCCAGGTATGTGATTTGTAATTTGTTTCTGAGATTGGAATTTCAGACTTGTATGTAAAATAATATTATTTCCATTGATTTTACTTTAAAAAGGATGAACATGACTCAGTCCATCAACAGACAGTTTCGAACCTCATCCTGAAGCATACTGAAGAACTGAAAGTTTTACAAGCCAAGTTGGAAAGTCAGAGGCAAGGGGAGCTCCTGTTGCTTCGTAAGGTAAAGTGACTATATAGAGGTTTTGAGTCTCAGCGACTTTAAATAGATATTCTCTTCTTTTTTTGATGTATTAATGTGATTCAATTTATTATAGTCAATGAAAGTACCTTTACAATTGTTCCTGTCTCAATGCAACAACAATCACTCACTCACTCACACTTCATCGTGCAATAATCAGTTTCTTGGTCTTATGTTGTTACATTGCGCTACATGTTTTGGTTCCTAAAGCCATCATCAGGTGGTACAATTTAATGACCATTTTTAAAGTATTGAAATACCCTCTATATATGGTCTCATATAATTTAAATGCTTATTATTATGTACCAGGTTTTCCATTCAGTTAATATATTTAATCATGTAAAGGTAATTTTATATGATGGGGGTACCCAAAAGAAACCAAACTAATTTTTTTTTGTGGGCAGAGCTTTTGTAGTACCGCGTTTTGCCGCTATGAGCGCATAGAGCTAACATTCCTGAGTCGATAAGCCAACTACCGTTGCTTCAGAAGGTAAGGACTAGTTTCGGCAGAGTTTATAGTGACAACTGTTTTGTGTGATCGTCATTTTTGCAATGGCTGATTTTCATGAACAGCGTGCGGCGGTGAAATTCTGCTTTTTGTTGGGGAAAAGTGGAACAGAAACTCTTGAAATATTAAAAACGACGTACAAGGACGATGCTATGGGGAAAACTCAAGTGTTTGAGTGGTTTTCCCGTTTCAAAAATGGTGAAATGTCAATTGATGACAAACCTCATTCTGGTTGTCCTTCCACGGCCCGAACACATGAAAATGTTGAAAAAATTCGTGAAATCATCAAGGAAGAT